CCAATAGTACAGCATTTGAATACAATGCTAAAATGATTATTAGACCTGTATAGTTGCCCAGTTTCTCCCTTAGATAAATGCTTATAAGAGCAACTGCTGGGTCAAAAGTTACTTTCCTTGCCATCTCAGCAGCAATGTGGGGGAGTTGTCACTGAAGCAAGAAGCCTGACATCCTGACAGCTAAGGGCCAAACTTCAGGTCAAAGCTGTGGGGACCACAGCAGCCCCAGGCTGGGTCACCCAGTGGCACCCAAAGAAGATCGCACATGTGTTCCCCTTTACAGTCAGCCAATAGCTAGAGTGTCCCGTCAACAAAGCCCCAGCCCAGCACTGCTCAGGCCGCAGCCCTCTTCCTCCTCTACTTCCAGGCCCCTTGGGATGTTTACTGACCCTCCCAAGTGAGCTGGGGTCTCCAGGCCTCAACGCCAATGCCCCCTCTCCCAACAAAGCATCCCTGGCTCCCCAAAGGGCCTGCCCGCACCTCACACATAACTGCGTGTGAAGCAAGCCTGGTGAGGTTCAGGGGCACCCACATGGGACTCAGCCCACAGCAGCCTTCACAGCTTGTTGCAGGAGTGCCTCCAGGCCACGGTTTACTTGAACCAGACCTTGCTTTGGTACAAAGGTCCCAGCACGGACAGCAAGCCTGGAATTTGGTGCCTGTTTCAAGGAACAGTTCTCTCTCAGTTCCCCTTGTCCACTTCCACTGTGAACGTTTCCTAGCACTTTCTTCCAAATATATCTGGAGTCTTACAGGGCCTCCCCTGGCACGCAGGTGTGCTGGCCCCTCCCCCTAAGACAGACAGACAAGACACACACACAGCACCTTGGAGCAGAAAGTGCTAAGATGTGACAACTTTGTCCTTTCCGGAAAGAATTTCTCTCATGTTCTGACCAGTGCTAGTAATTCATTAGAGAGGCCATGCTGCTTCCAATTCACCCCCACTTCCCTCTCCCACTCCAGTTTCCAAGCTCAAAACAATCTTTTTTGTTTTTTAAAGAAGAAAATGTTTACTGGTTTCTGGAGGGGGGTAGGCAGATTCTGGGTGAAGCCTTATGTAAGTTTTGGGGACACAAATGTCCACAATCAAATGCTTTTTCAAACTGTTCTACAAGGCAGCCCAGAAACCACCCCCACCTAACCAGTGAGGGAAAGAGCACAGACGTTTACAAAGAACTGCTTTTGCCTCCCTGGGGAAGGGCAGGCTGAAAAAGTCAGCTTTTCATTACGCAGAGCCAGAACAGCTGCACGCGGTCCTCAGCCTGGCTGCGACCTTCCTCGCTCTCCTCCCTTTGACATTTCCCGGGTCCTAGAAGAACAGCCCTCCTTCACAGGGAGCTAGGAAGAGAATGAAAACAGTACCTAGCGTGGTAAAAAATAAATAACTGGCATGGAATATTGTAAATCTTGATTACAATCATCTAGAAATTCTCTGTGCTGCATCTTGTTTTAACAAACACCTGAGAAAAGAGAGCTCCATGTAAGATGCATCAGACAAGCACACGAGCCCATTTACTGGTGCCGCCTCACCTGGCAGAGCTGCTGGCGCACCGCATCGCCCTTCCTTTCTCTCCTCTCTCCCTCTGCCTGGGCCTGAGGCTCCCAGACATGCTTTCAGAGCCTTTCCCACCCATGTAAATAACACAGCATGCCTCACCTCTGCCGCCCCCAAATCTCCACAGGGTGAGGCCCCTTCCAGCCCTGCTCTTCTCCTTGGCACAAATCCCCACGTGCCCCACTGCATGTCTGTTTCCTCCCTCCCTACACGGTAAGCTCAGGAGGCAGGGGTGCTGTCCATCCTCTTCACTGCCCTCTCCATCACCTACCACTATCCCCAGCATGTAGCAGGTGCGCAATATTCATGGAATAATTAAGGCTAACTCATCAATGTGTCCGTGGGAAAATACATTTATTTTCTTAATTTCAAACATCAGGCTTAGATCCAAGGGCCTTTCTGGGTAAAAGGTTACTTCAACAGCTCAAAAAGCCTGGCCCTCTTGATATAAATCAGAGAGCAAAGGGGATATGGTGCTGCTCCAACAAGGCCAGAGGCAAACTGAGGTTGGAGGAGGAGGCTGATATCCATCTGACGAGGCGGCAGCTGGCTGGCGTCGAGGCCTCTGGTACTCTCTGTGTAGAACAGCAGAGATGAAGAACAGGGCATGTGGCGACTCTAGGCCTGCACCTGGGCCAATGGCTGCCCGGTGACAGCTGCGTCACATTCTACGAGTGAGGTGGCAGCTGCCACAAACCTGGTCACCAATGTGCTGCCATCAGAGTCAAAGTCAGGAAAGGTGCAGGGCACTCCAGGTCAGAATCAAAAAGCAATGGGAAGGAAATGTGCACACCGAAGCACCTTCACCTAGAGGCTCCAACATCATACCCATTCCTCATTATTTGCAGATTCCACAATCACTAAATTTAGTCATAACTCCAAAATCAACACTTTATAGAAAACTACCACAAAGAACGAGAATCAACCTTACATTAAAATGACTGTTTCCCGCCCGTGTCCCTTGGCACCCTCCTCTCGCCACTGTGCTGCTTGGGCCATCTGTGCTCTCTGCATGTGGACTCTCCCTCTGCAGGCCGCTGCGGGGCGCTGTCCAGGGACTGCTTTCCCAGACCTGGCCACATCTCTCTCCTGCTGCAGTTCCGGCTGTCAGTCAGCACCAATCTCCTCTCCACTCCTCACCCTCCACTAAGATGGAAACTCCTACGGCAAGGCCTTTGTCTTTCTCATCACACATCTGCAGAGGCCAATACAGAGCCTGACACAAGACTGGTGCCCAGTGGGCCTCACCTGACACACACCCAGACAGCATGCTCTCCTCCAGACTCCAGCAACAGGTCAAGCGGCCAGGAGCCTGGCTGAGAGTGAAACCTCGCCACTACTCTGCGCGTTGGACAGGGAACACCTATTAGACAGGGACTGTCTGGTGCCAGGTAGCTGTTGAGCACATAAACTGTGGCTAGTACAAACTGGGATATGCTCTAGATATAAAATATGCACAAGATTTTGAAAACCTAGTGCAAATATACATGTAAAATATCTCATTTTTATGTTGATTCCATGTTGAAATCATCTGATCTTGGACATTCTGGGTTAAACAAGATTAAAATTAATTTCAACTGTTTCTTTTTAATGTGGCTACTAGAGATGTTTTAATGACCTCTGTAGCTTGCATTACACCTCTGTGAGCCTATCTTGGTTATACCATGAAAAGGTCAGCTAGTGACAAACCAGCTCTGACCACCTCTCTTCACTGCCGCCAGATGTTCTTCAGAGCAAGGCAGGAAACACCTGTCTGAGGGCTTCCTGTGACACGCAAATACTCACATGAATTGAGAAATGAGAGCTAAAAGGAGTTCAAGAGATGAACCAATGTTACCCTCAGAAGCTAAGTGCCCTGCAAAGTCTTCCTGCCCATGAACCAGATGGCAGCCAGCACAGAGTAGGCATACAAATACTTGTTGAATGAATCAATCCTTTGCAAAAAAAGACTATTTCCACCATGTCTACCCATAGCTGGGATGGTGAATATGAGAGCTGGAGGGGATGTGGAAAGGGACCTGGCTCTGTCATGTCATTGCACCGTGAGACACAGTACCGCTGGGCATCCCGATCTGGAGGAGAGGCTGTCCCTACTTCCAGGCCTTGCTGTCCAGTAGAACTCTCTACGATGATGGACGTGTTTTCTCCTCTGTCCAATATGGTGGTTGCTGAGCTCTTGAAATGTGGCTATTGTGACTTAGGATTGAATTTCTTATCTTATTTGCCCGGAACTGAGTAGTGACCGCATTGGACAGCACAGCTCTAGGCTACTGTGACAGGGTAGGGGATGAAGCTTGTAGAAAAATGCTCTGTAAGCTCTACAGCTCTACAGATTCAGTAGGGCTTTTGTTGCTGTCTAATACAGTAAAAATCAGATTCTGAGAGATTTCAATTGCCCAACAAAGACTTGATTTGTTAGAAGTCAAAAAAACTTAAACATGCAGTCTGACTTAACTGGGGGGGAAGGGCATCCAGTGTTCATGGACACCTAAAATCAGAATAGAGGGGTGAGACTCCTTCCCACACAGCTCAGAACAACTTTGAATCCCCACTGCCTCATTCACATTTGATACCTCCAGGGCCTTGCCATGCAGCCAGCACACTCCTGGTGGATTATATCCCCATGTCCCACACCCTCAATCTGGGAACCAGATGTTTCCTGCCCTTTCTGCTGACCTCCCTGGTACTTCTCCTGCCACAGAAACAGGGCCTGCCAACAGCTCCCTGTATTCCCTCAGCGCTCTGACACGGTCACTCAGGCTCTCACACATACGCAGGGTTGTTCAAATTTGCCCATGGATGGTGAAAAGAGCTAGTACTTGAAAAGGGATGGAGACTACCTGGTGCCTGTGAAGAATGCTAATCTGTTTACACCCACCTTGGGAGCTCTAGTCTCCCAAGAGTTTTGCCAGCAGGAAAGCTCTTCCCAGTGTAAACAGCTCTTCATTACCATTAGATAATTATATTCTCTACACAGCAGGATAAAGAAATGAGCAGGGAAGTGAAACAGGTGAATCATTAGGACAGAAAATCAAAAAAGGCTTAAGTCTGAGGATACTTACAGTGTTTCCAAGTACAAATGTAAGGAACCGCCCTAAAATACTCAAGAGATTTTGTGGGCTCATCCACTCTTTCCCACTAAAGACAGCTAACCTTTCCCTCAGGCCTTCCACCTTCTCCACACATATTCACTTGAGGGCTTAAGCACACGCAGGGCTCCACACAGCCCTGGGTTTGACCCGTTGGAACTTCCACGATGAGACTGGATCCACACGTGCTCTGCCCACAAGCTGGGCTCGGGGGAGTATTTTACTCTGCCAGGGAGCTGTTGCTCAACTCCAGGGAAGGGACACCAGCAGTCACCCTGCAGCTATTAAAACAAAATAGCTGGTGGTGTCAGGGAGACGGTCAACCACACCATAAACAGAGACCCTGCTTTCTGTACCTCAAGTTCAGTCTCCCGTCTGTTGATATCATCCGTGGATTGATTTAACTTCTCCAATTCTCCCTAAAAAAAGAGGGAGAAAGAAAAGATTCAGGGATTCGAATTTTGTTTCCAGGATGACTCAGCCTATTACCTGCAAAATAACTCCAGCACAATTTATAGGAAGAGGTAAGAGTCAGTATTAATTCTCAAGGAAAGTAGTTAAACCTTAGCTAGAAGAGCAAGTGAATGTCAGCATTTCTGAAACCTTTTCCTTGCTGTTGTCTCTTTTGAAATGTCTTCAGGTCCTAGGACTTGTGTATTTCCTTAGAAGGGGAAGGCCAAATATTTATATCAGGATGTGCCTTCAGGTAAACCTACCTGTTACAAACAATTTAGGGTGGATCAAAACAGGACCTTTTGCCTTAGAGCAAGAATTTACAGAAAAGATAAGAGAAAATAACACCAAGCTAAAAGGATAAACGTAGTGTACAATTTCGGCATTAACCCATCAGTGGTTGAGTATTTTTCTGTAGAGATAATCTTCTCAAACTGCCAATTACTCAGTCTACCTAGCTTTTTAAAAAAAGCTCTAACAGATTGAATACCCAGCATGAATTTAATTCATTTTACTCTGCAAACAAAGGATCTTAACAGAATCACCATACTCAAAAAAACAAGATTTAGTAGCCCAAGCTGGTAATTTTAATTGATAGAATTCCAAATCCAAAGATTTTTCTACCTGATCTTTTATCTTGCTAATGTGCCAAAACAATTCATTTAAACCACAATAGCTGAGTTAAATGAGCTTTTAATTGATTTGTGTACTGAAAAACCAATCAGGGCTCCAGAAATCGCAGAGGATGCTTAGAAGCAATATTTAAAAATAAAAAGATTTATGTAAAGGATAAAAAAACAGGTGTGAGAAAAGGAATTTGACGCGCTTTTTGCTTAGAGGGTGAAGAGGCTAAGCTGATACTGGGAAATCTTGGTTTGGAAATTGTTTTTTAATCATCTCCCTTAGAAATGGAGGTACAGAAAGCCAGGCCAATCCCCTCGCTTGCGCCCCCATCGGCTTTGCGCATCGGTTTGCCCCTATTTCTGTTCACACCCGACCTCATACCAAGGAAAAGCTGGGTTTTAAATCATTTGAGGCCAAGCACAGCGCTGAGCCCGTGGCAATAAGCCCTTCCGTGCGCTAAGAGGAGGAAGACGGCTTGGCCCGGCACCTCGGCCAGGTGGGGACAGGGAACCCAGGGCTCGGGTGTCCGTCCCCGCTGCGGGACGGACAACGCCCACCGTGCTCCCCGGGCCGGGCCCGCGCCGCCGGGAGGCACCCCGACACCGGCCCGGCGCCCCCGCCCCCTTCTCCCTTTGTTGCTCCTGCGCCCGAGCCAGCGGGCACGCTGCGGCGAACCCCACATCCTGGCGCGGGTCCGTGGTGACCACACAGTGCAGTCCGGCCGCGCCCACGCACCTCCCCAAGGCCGGATGAAACGGCTTTCAGACCCTCTCCCCGCGCCCGGGACTAGGCGGCCGCCCCCGCCCGCAGGCACTGGGCGCTGCGGGGCCCGAGCGGACCGCGCGCCTACCTGGATGCGGGGATCTACCTCCTCCTCCTCCTCCTCCAGCCCCTGCTCCATGCCCTCTTCTGCCGCCGCCTCCGCGCCCCGGGCGGACGGCACGAGCTCGGCCGGCTCCTCCGAGCGGCTCCGCTTCAGCGCCGCGTCCATGAAGGCAGCCGGCAGGCGAACCGCGGGGCCTGGGGCGTCCAGGGACGCAGGCGGGCCGGAGCCGTGGGGACGCCGCGACGCGCGCTTCCAGCCGCCCCGACGCGGCCGGAAATTCACCCCCACTTCCCTCTCCCACTCCAGTTTCCAAGCTCAAAACAATCTTTTTTGTTTTTTAAAGAAGAAAATGTTTACTGGTTTCTGGAGGGGGGTAGGCAGATTCTGGGTGAAGCCTTATGTAAGTTTTGGGGACACAAATGTCCACAATCAAATGCTTTTTCAAACTGTTCTACAAGGCAGCCCAGAAACCACCCCCACCTAACCAGTGAGGGAAAGAGCACAGACGTTTACAAAGAACTGCTTTTGCCTCCCTGGGGAAGGGCAGGCTGAAAAAGTCAGCTTTTCATTACGCAGAGCCAGAACAGCTGCACGCGGTCCTCAGCCTGGCTGCGACCTTCCTCGCTCTCCTCCCTTTGACATTTCCCGGGTCCTAGAAGAACAGCCCTCCTTCACAGGGAGCTAGGAAGAGAATGAAAACAGTACCTAGCGTGGTAAAAAATAAATAACTGGCATGGAATATTGTAAATCTTGATTACAATCATCTAGAAATTCTCTGTGCTGCATCTTGTTTTAACAAACACCTGAGAAAAGAGAGCTCCATGTAAGATGCATCAGACAAGCACACGAGCCCATTTACTGGTGCCGCCTCACCTGGCAGAGCTGCTGGCGCACCGCATCGCCCTTCCTTTCTCTCCTCTCTCCCTCTGCCTGGGCCTGAGGCTCCCAGACATGCTTTCAGAGCCTTTCCCACCCATGTAAATAACACAGCATGCCTCACCTCTGCCGCCCCCAAATCTCCACAGGGTGAGGCCCCTTCCAGCCCTGCTCTTCTCCTTGGCACAAATCCCCACGTGCCCCACTGCATGTCTGTTTCCTCCCTCCCTACACGGTAAGCTCAGGAGGCAGGGGTGCTGTCCATCCTCTTCACTGCCCTCTCCATCACCTACCACTATCCCCAGCATGTAGCAGGTGCGCAATATTCATGGAATAATTAAGGCTAACTCATCAATGTGTCCGTGGGAAAATACATTTATTTTCTTAATTTCAAACATCAGGCTTAGATCCAAGGGCCTTTCTGGGTAAAAGGTTACTTCAACAGCTCAAAAAGCCTGGCCCTCTTGATATAAATCAGAGAGCAAAGGGGATATGGTGCTGCTCCAACAAGGCCAGAGGCAAACTGAGGTTGGAGGAGGAGGCTGATATCCATCTGACGAGGCGGCAGCTGGCTGGCGTCGAGGCCTCTGGTACTCTCTGTGTAGAACAGCAGAGATGAAGAACAGGGCATGTGGCGACTCTAGGCCTGCACCTGGGCCAATGGCTGCCCGGTGACAGCTGCGTCACATTCTACGAGTGAGGTGGCAGCTGCCACAAACCTGGTCACCAATGTGCTGCCATCAGAGTCAAAGTCAGGAAAGGTGCAGGGCACTCCAGGTCAGAATCAAAAAGCAATGGGAAGGAAATGTGCACACCGAAGCACCTTCACCTAGAGGCTCCAACATCATACCCATTCCTCATTATTTGCAGATTCCACAATCACTAAATTTAGTCATAACTCCAAAATCAACACTTTATAGAAAACTACCACAAAGAACGAGAATCAACCTTACATTAAAATGACTGTTTCCCGCCCGTGTCCCTTGGCACCCTCCTCTCGCCACTGTGCTGCTTGGGCCATCTGTGCTCTCTGCATGTGGACTCTCCCTCTGCAGGCCGCTGCGGGGCGCTGTCCAGGGACTGCTTTCCCAGACCTGGCCACATCTCTCTCCTGCTGCAGTTCCGGCTGTCAGTCAGCACCAATCTCCTCTCCACTCCTCACCCTCCACTAAGATGGAAACTCCTACGGCAAGGCCTTTGTCTTTCTCATCACACATCTGCAGAGGCCAATACAGAGCCTGACACAAGACTGGTGCCCAGTGGGCCTCACCTGACACACACCCAGACAGCATGCTCTCCTCCAGACTCCAGCAACAGGTCAAGCGGCCAGGAGCCTGGCTGAGAGTGAAACCTCGCCACTACTCTGCGCGTTGGACAGGGAACACCTATTAGACAGGGACTGTCTGGTGCCAGGTAGCTGTTGAGCACATAAACTGTGGCTAGTACAAACTGGGATATGCTCTAGATATAAAATATGCACAAGATTTTGAAAACCTAGTGCAAATATACATGTAAAATATCTCATTTTTATGTTGATTCCATGTTGAAATCATCTGATCTTGGACATTCTGGGTTAAACAAGATTAAAATTAATTTCAACTGTTTCTTTTTAATGTGGCTACTAGAGATGTTTTAATGACCTCTGTAGCTTGCATTACACCTCTGTGAGCCTATCTTGGTTATACCATGAAAAGGTCAGCTAGTGACAAACCAGCTCTGACCACCTCTCTTCACTGCCGCCAGATGTTCTTCAGAGCAAGGCAGGAAACACCTGTCTGAGGGCTTCCTGTGACACGCAAATACTCACATGAATTGAGAAATGAGAGCTAAAAGGAGTTCAAGAGATGAACCAATGTTACCCTCAGAAGCTAAGTGCCCTGCAAAGTCTTCCTGCCCATGAACCAGATGGCAGCCAGCACAGAGTAGGCATACAAATACTTGTTGAATGAATCAATCCTTTGCAAAAAAAGACTATTTCCACCATGTCTACCCATAGCTGGGATGGTGAATATGAGAGCTGGAGGGGATGTGGAAAGGGACCTGGCTCTGTCATGTCATTGCACCGTGAGACACAGTACCGCTGGGCATCCCGATCTGGAGGAGAGGCTGTCCCTACTTCCAGGCCTTGCTGTCCAGTAGAACTCTCTACGATGATGGACGTGTTTTCTCCTCTGTCCAATATGGTGGTTGCTGAGCTCTTGAAATGTGGCTATTGTGACTTAGGATTGAATTTCTTATCTTATTTGCCCGGAACTGAGTAGTGACCGCATTGGACAGCACAGCTCTAGGCTACTGTGACAGGGTAGGGGATGAAGCTTGTAGAAAAATGCTCTGTAAGCTCTACAGCTCTACAGATTCAGTAGGGCTTTTGTTGCTGTCTAATACAGTAAAAATCAGATTCTGAGAGATTTCAATTGCCCAACAAAGACTTGATTTGTTAGAAGTCAAAAAAACTTAAACATGCAGTCTGACTTAACTGGGGGGGAAGGGCATCCAGTGTTCATGGACACCTAAAATCAGAATAGAGGGGTGAGACTCCTTCCCACACAGCTCAGAACAACTTTGAATCCCCACTGCCTCATTCACATTTGATACCTCCAGGGCCTTGCCATGCAGCCAGCACACTCCTGGTGGATTATATCCCCATGTCCCACACCCTCAATCTGGGAACCAGATGTTTCCTGCCCTTTCTGCTGACCTCCCTGGTACTTCTCCTGCCACAGAAACAGGGCCTGCCAACAGCTCCCTGTATTCCCTCAGCGCTCTGACACGGTCACTCAGGCTCTCACACATACGCAGGGTTGTTCAAATTTGCCCATGGATGGTGAAAAGAGCTAGTACTTGAAAAGGGATGGAGACTACCTGGTGCCTGTGAAGAATGCTAATCTGTTTACACCCACCTTGGGAGCTCTAGTCTCCCAAGAGTTTTGCCAGCAGGAAAGCTCTTCCCAGTGTAAACAGCTCTTCATTACCATTAGATAATTATATTCTCTACACAGCAGGATAAAGAAATGAGCAGGGAAGTGAAACAGGTGAATCATTAGGACAGAAAATCAAAAAAGGCTTAAGTCTGAGGATACTTACAGTGTTTCCAAGTACAAATGTAAGGAACCGCCCTAAAATACTCAAGAGATTTTGTGGGCTCATCCACTCTTTCCCACTAAAGACAGCTAACCTTTCCCTCAGGCCTTCCACCTTCTCCACACATATTCACTTGAGGGCTTAAGCACACGCAGGGCTCCACACAGCCCTGGGTTTGACCCGTTGGAACTTCCACGATGAGACTGGATCCACACGTGCTCTGCCCACAAGCTGGGCTCGGGGGAGTATTTTACTCTGCCAGGGAGCTGTTGCTCAACTCCAGGGAAGGGACACCAGCAGTCACCCTGCAGCTATTAAAACAAAATAGCTGGTGGTGTCAGGGAGACGGTCAACCACACCATAAACAGAGACCCTGCTTTCTGTACCTCAAGTTCAGTCTCCCGTCTGTTGATATCATCCGTGGATTGATTTAACTTCTCCAATTCTCCCTAAAAAAAGAGGGAGAAAGAAAAGATTCAGGGATTCGAATTTTGTTTCCAGGATGACTCAGCCTATTACCTGCAAAATAACTCCAGCACAATTTATAGGAAGAGGTAAGAGTCAGTATTAATTCTCAAGGAAAGTAGTTAAACCTTAGCTAGAAGAGCAAGTGAATGTCAGCATTTCTGAAACCTTTTCCTTGCTGTTGTCTCTTTTGAAATGTCTTCAGGTCCTAGGACTTGTGTATTTCCTTAGAAGGGGAAGGCCAAATATTTATATCAGGATGTGCCTTCAGGTAAACCTACCTGTTACAAACAATTTAGGGTGGATCAAAACAGGACCTTTTGCCTTAGAGCAAGAATTTACAGAAAAGATAAGAGAAAATAACACCAAGCTAAAAGGATAAACGTAGTGTACAATTTCGGCATTAACCCATCAGTGGTTGAGTATTTTTCTGTAGAGATAATCTTCTCAAACTGCCAATTACTCAGTCTACCTAGCTTTTTAAAAAAAGCTCTAACAGATTGAATACCCAGCATGAATTTAATTCATTTTACTCTGCAAACAAAGGATCTTAACAGAATCACCATACTCAAAAAAACAAGATTTAGTAGCCCAAGCTGGTAATTTTAATTGATAGAATTCCAAATCCAAAGATTTTTCTACCTGATCTTTTATCTTGCTAATGTGCCAAAACAATTCATTTAAACCACAATAGCTGAGTTAAATGAGCTTTTAATTGATTTGTGTACTGAAAAACCAATCAGGGCTCCAGAAATCGCAGAGGATGCTTAGAAGCAATATTTAAAAATAAAAAGATTTATGTAAAGGATAAAAAAACAGGTGTGAGAAAAGGAATTTGACGCGCTTTTTGCTTAGAGGGTGAAGAGGCTAAGCTGATACTGGGAAATCTTGGTTTGGAAATTGTTTTTTAATCATCTCCCTTAGAAATGGAGGTACAGAAAGCCAGGCCAATCCCCTCGCTTGCGCCCCCATCGGCTTTGCGCATCGGTTTGCCCCTATTTCTGTTCACACCCGACCTCATACCAAGGAAAAGCTGGGTTTTAAATCATTTGAGGCCAAGCACAGCGCTGAGCCCGTGGCAATAAGCCCTTCCGTGCGCTAAGAGGAGGAAGACGGCTTGGCCCGGCACCTCGGCCAGGTGGGGACAGGGAACCCAGGGCTCGGGTGTCCGTCCCCGCTGCGGGACGGACAACGCCCACCGTGCTCCCCGGGCCGGGCCCGCGCCGCCGGGAGGCACCCCGACACCGGCCCGGCGCCCCCGCCCCCTTCTCCCTTTGTTGCTCCTGCGCCCGAGCCAGCGGGCACGCTGCGGCGAACCCCACATCCTGGCGCGGGTCCGTGGTGACCACACAGTGCAGTCCGGCCGCGCCCACGCACCTCCCCAAGGCCGGATGAAACGGCTTTCAGACCCTCTCCCCGCGCCCGGGACTAGGCGGCCGCCCCCGCCCGCAGGCACTGGGCGCTGCGGGGCCCGAGCGGACCGCGCGCCTACCTGGATGCGGGGATCTACCTCCTCCTCCTCCTCCTCCAGCCCCTGCTCCATGCCCTCTTCTGCCGCCGCCTCCGCGCCCCGGGCGGACAGCACGAGCTCGGCCGGCTCCTCCGAGCGGCTCCGCTTCAGCGCCGCGTCCATGAAGGCAGCCGGCAGGCGAACCGCGGGGCCTGGGGCGTCCAGGGACGCAGGCGGGCCGGAGCCGTGGGGACGCCGCGACGCGCGCTTCCAGCCGCCCCGACGCGGCCGGGCGGGCGCAGCGCAGGAAGTGCGCGCGGCCGCCCCCTCCCGGCCGCGGCCAGCAGCGCAGCGGCGCCCACCCGCCCCGCCCAGCGAGGCCGGCCGCCCAGCTGCCCGCACAAAAACCCAGCTCCCGGCAAGCTTCTAGAGCCAGGAACAAGGGAGCCCTCTTGCCCTCTCCACTCAGCAGCCCTAGCCTGTCACCACCCAACGGTGACCGCGGCTCCGGGGGCAGCTTTCTCCTCCCTCCTCAGCCAAGGCAAATGGGGACTGCATGAAAGGCAAGTTTGGGGTACTTCCACCGTTTGAAGTCACCCTCAGCATTTTGTACTCAGACACCCAGCACCAGTTTCAAGACCCGCTCAAACGCCTGTACACACCCAAGCCCGTTGCTCCCCTTGAGGGAGCCTTCGGAGTCGCGTGCCTTGACGATTCAAGTAGAGGGAACTGAAACCTGCCCGTACAGACACAAACGTACGACCCGCCGCCACCTGCTGCTCCGGGTGTGGATTCTTTGCCCAAGGGCTGCAGCCGCCGCTGGGCACAGCTACGTACCCAACACCTGGGCTTTCATGGTGTGGGGTGGTCCTACCTGAACAGCCAGGAAGAGTGGAAAAGCCATCGATCAGGGACGTGGGGGGTGGAGTGGGGACAGCCGTGTCAAGGAGGTGGCCGGTGCATCCCCTGTTACTGGGCATCCTCTGCCCAAGGACGTATGAACTGGTGGGGTTTCCTGCCAACTCTAAACAAGTAGGGAGCCACAGCTTGCCTGGCAAAGTCAACATCACAAAAGGCCAAAGAATGAAGGGACATGCCTGTGCTTTCATGAAATGTCAGGGTCACTCCTATGTCAGGGGAGCACAAGGCCAGTGACCTTAGCAAAGCTGGTGCTCACATTGCCACTGGCCACTGCTCCTGCTTCCTTCACTGCAGAAATGCAGACCCGCCCACTTTCCACAGGGAGGCTCGCAGCCCATTGGCTGAGTTTGGTGGACTAAGTTGCTTGAGAAAGGAGCTTCTTTCTGAAAGCCTATCTTTAAAGCCACCTTGGAGGGCTACTCCTTGGACAAGGTGCCACACTACAAATGCCAGGGCTCTGGTCCACCATCAGAGGAGATTTGTTCTGTCTTCTGGAGGTAATACAAGTGGATGCCACAGGTTTTTTTCTGAACATGTCACACCTGTTCATTGTTCTTTAAATCAAGGGAGAGTCAGCAATTTCTTGAGATGTTCTGAAGCTTCATGCTAAAGACATAGTTGCTTTTGATTTTCCTGTGATGAAGACAGGGATAAGATGGCCATTAAGGATCACTTTGGGACACAAGAGCCACCACTGTTACCCCTGGTGGCTTGGAATCAAGTCTATAATGGAGCAATTTCATCCTAGCTGTGGATGAACTGAGGTTAAAAACAAAAGTGAGGCCAGCCCTTATTCTACTGCTTCTTGGCTGCTGGAACCCCATCCTCACCATTCTAAACAGCATTTTCCAAGATACATTTCTATTTAAGCTTAGATCTGAGAGTAATAGAGTGGTTCTAACTGCCTCCGTGGGACATAGGGAATTGCCCTAGAACATCAGTTTACACTTTTGTTTTTGTTTTTAGAATACCTGAGCTATAGCATTAATCACATTAGTGTTCTGAAGTTAAAATAAGGAAAATAAACCACAGCTGAACTATGTATTTTCTACTAGTATGTGTATATGTATACACACATGCACATAAATGCATAGAAAAAAGCCTAGAAGAAAGGATTCATACCCAACAAAGAATGGCTACCCCTGGGAAAGGGGCCCAGATTGGTTAGGATGGGAGGGTCAGGGGGGACTTTTAATCTCTCACATTTTCATTTTTTACAAGGAGGTTGTATTTATGACTGTGTAATTTTTAAGTAACTTTATACCATTTTCTATTTCTGTGTAAAAAGTTACCTCAAATATAGTGATTTAAAACCACAATCATTTACTATCTCACAGTTCTGTAGGTCGGAAATTCTCACAAAGTGTGGCTTACGTTCTGTGCTCAGGGTCTCCCAGGATAAACCAGGATGCCTACCAGGCTGTATTTCTTTCTGGAAGCTCTGAGGAAAAAATCCTCCGAAGCTCATTCATGCTATTGGCTGACTTCAGTTTCTCGTGGTTGTAGGGCTGAGGTCCCTGTTTCCTTTGCTGATAGGGCCCCCTGTTTCCTTTGCCTCCAAGGGCCAATCTCAGCTACTGGAGGCTCCCTGCATCTTCAAAGGCAGCAACTGAGAATCTCGCTTGTGTTGAATCCTTCCCACATTTCAATTTCTCTTCAGGAAGAGCCCTGTTGATTAGATCAGGTCCACCCAGAACAGCCTCCCATTCTTAAAGTCAGCTGTGCCGGATACAGAACTTAATCATGGAAGTGACTATGACCTCATGCACAAGTTCCCAAAATTTTACAGAAGTCTGTGTACCAGGGGACAGGAAATGGGGCAATCATATAATTCTGCCTCCCACACATACTAAGAAGGCAAGCCATATAGGTGGCTTGTAGGCCAAGCAAATATGTAACATTTATTTTAGTTGGCATATTGATCTGAAGCCGTGGCTCTAAAGGTATGGGCTGGAGACCCCTGGAGATTGCTGAGACCTTTTAGGATGCCCATGAGATCAAAACTACTTTCATACTAATACTAAGCCAATATTTGACTTTTCCACTAATTTTCCTACAAGTGTTCATTAGTTTTCTGGAAGCTGCATGACTGGTTGTGGTTAAACAGTATTTCCAGAATCTCTAGCCTGGCCTTAGTGCATCTCCACATATAGGTGTTTCCAAGGGGTGGAGAGAAGTAGCCATCTCCATGTCAATAGGTGTGAGGAAGTTGAGGTTGCTGTGGCCAGGATCCTCACTGAACTTAAACCACCTGATGATGTAAGTGGCCTGTTGCTAGGCTACCGCTTCCACACCTTTAGGCAATAAGCTATTGCACTATATAGAGAGCTCGGCCCAGTGCACTGAGCGGAGGTAGAGACACTAGTGCTCCACCTACCCCAGGGAGAACAAGCCAGCTAAACTCTTTCACCCCAAAGAACATTTTGCTGTCAATGTCTTTGGTCACATTGAATCCATAACAAACTTGCCAGGGGCTGAAACTATTGGCAAGACAGTACAGGTAATTACAAGGGGGAGCTGGGGCATATCTGGACCTGAGAGTTTGGGTAGGGCCCCTTTTTCTGCCACCAGGTCTCGGGAGACATGGGCTAGTAGAAGTGGACTACTGCTTGTAAACAATAAACAGCTTTCTCCCACTTTATTTCTCTCTCTGACTGATTTTGGTTCAAAGGTGTTTTGCCCCGGGCATGGAAAATACTTTCCCTCCCAGAGTTATCCCCATGAAATCACAACAGCTCAAAAGCAGATAAGAATCCAGCTGTCTTCTGTTGAGGCACACCTTAGATTTGCAAAACTCTTTAATTTTTAAAAAAAATTTGATTTGCAAAACAATGTCTTCTCACTGTTTGTTTTGCTTTAGAAACTATTTTTTCATTTCATTTTCATTTTCAAACTGAAGTTGTTTTTCATAAAATGATATTTATGACCTATTGTTTAGATGAATTAGTTAAAATGTTTTTAAAATTGTTTTAATTTCTGCACAATAACCACCAGTAAATATAACCATATAAACAACAGCTTTCTGAGATCCTCAATCATTTAAAAAATATGTACTATTGGCACCGAGAAGTTCGAGAACCACTGCCTTGCCAATGGGTTTCAGCCCCGGGCAAGTTCATTATGGATTCAATGTGACCAAAGAAAACGACAGTAAAACGTCTTTGGGGTGGAAGGGTTATACCCAACTTTATTATTTCCACAGTGGCAGGTCAATCACTAAAAATCCCATTCACTCAGAGCAAGTCTGCACGCAGCAAGCCGGTCTCTGCCTCTGGGCGCCTCTGCCCGCACAGCAGTCCTCTGAGCCTCTGTCCTTGGCGCTGCCACCACTCCAGCCCCTGTTCTGCTCTCCTGCAGCCTTGCAGCCATGCCACTGTAGTCCAGACCACTGGGCAGAGCTCTTTATATAGAGTCAACAGCCATGTAGTGCCCACAGGTGTGCAGTGAGCTAGCCAACCAGGGCCAGGTGAGAATCCTGGCCACAGGAACTTTCATTTTATCCACAACCACTGATTTAGAGGAAATGTATACTCTAGTTTGAGTTATCCTTTCTCATTTGTATTTAAATATTCCACTTCCTGCTTCACTCAAAAGATGTATACCCCGCTCTCAAGACCCCTGCCAGCCATTGGTGGAGTATTTGTAGCACATTGCATTTTGCCCATTTCAAGATATTTTAAATATAATTTAACAATTTTGAGTGTTTGGATCGTTAGAGAAGGTTCTGCTCATGTGGCCGATCTTTGCTTATTTCCTAGGGTCTGTATCTTGTCAATTCCTATGAAGAACTCGTTGCCCAATTATAACATTGCTCCTTTGGACAAAACAGCTGTATGATGCTTTGTGATACATTTCCAAGGACGCGCCTCTGCCTTGCAGGCTTTGGTTGGGGCCCAAGTGGTGAGGTGCCCACGGGAGGCACAGCTGCAAGTTCTCGGCAGGAGCGTGATGGCACAGTGTCCAGTGTGGGCAAAGAGGGGGGGCTGACATCCTCAGAAAAACTTTGAGGACTGCTTTGCTTGGAGCCCATACTCCCTGTTCAATTAATTTTTATTATCTCCTTACAGTTTGGTTAATCCCAAACCTCTATTTGCTCCCTGCCCCACCCCTTCTTCAAGTTGTAAATTCAAGTTCATCAGTGAAAATCGTATCCTCTGTGCAGGTTCAGTTGCGCCTTAAAACAGCGAGCTGAAGTTGGGAGAGAAGGAAGAAAAAGTTGTCTAGCCAAAAGAAGCCTGTTTCACATATTCCCTCATATAGTGGGTCCTTATTTGTCCATCTGGTTTCTTTTACTGGATTAATATTAGCCACCTCCTCGCTGATGTCAGGCATTCACAGTCCAAGCCTGTCCTCCCTGAACGAAAAGCAAGCAAGTCTCCAGCAAAGAGGGAGTGATTTCTTATTTGGTTCCCCCACTGGGCCAAATAAGACTGATGAGTGAGCATTTGGAGCGGTGAGCATTGGCAGATGTTTCTTTTTCTGTAGGCGTGGAGAGAAATTTATATGTGTTTAATAAACACAGAAAATTCTGCTGTATTCAAGGAGCATCACTTTCCTGCCTTCAGGTAAGCAGGGGGGTCTCCAACTGTGTCTAAAATGTTTCTTAGCCTTTTTTGTGAAAAGCGAAACATCATTTCTCCAAACTGGTGAAAACCCGGGAATGGAGGAAGGAGAGGAGGGAGGGGATGTGCTGACCCCATGGGGGGTGGACGGAGTCTGGGCAGAAGGAGGGAGAGTGGGAGCCCCCGACATGGGCGAGGGGGAGGCCACTGCCTGCCGGTCCCAGAGAAGGGCCGGGTCACACTCTGTGGGCACCCAGGAGTGGCCCCGCGGTTCTGCCTGCGGAACCAGGGTGGCTGCACAGAGACGGCACCAAACCTTCAATAATAAACTCAAACAAGGGAGGAAGGTTTTATCAGAGAAAAAGAGAGACACATAAAAAGGAAGGAGAGGCAGGGAGAGAGCGAGCAAAAACCCTGCGAGCTCAGCCGTTGAAATTGAAGAAAGCAGAGACAGCAAAAGAGAAGGCATCACATACCAGCAGGCGGGGTGCTGAGTGACTGGCCATGGCATCACCCCGGCTTGCGTGGGGGAATCCGCTGGGGCACTGAGGAGCAGGGGGCAGAGGTCACACGGAGGCCGGCTAGGCTGATGACCTAGTGTGGGGGGCGAAGAACACCTCTTCTGCTTGCTTCCTTTGCTCAGTGAACTCCGGAGCTGGCGTACCAGCTGAGGTAGGGAGGCAGCATCAGAGTGCAGGAGGGAGAGGCTAGGAAGGTGGGTGGGTCAGGGAGAGTGGTGGAGGGGTTGACGGAGGAGCACACTGCAGTTGCCAGGCCGCACCGAGGGCCCACCTGTGGTCTGAGGTGCTCGATGGGACCAGTCCGCAAGAATGAGCTGCTTCTCCTACCAAGCTCAGCTTCTGACACAGATGGTAAGTAATAATTACGCAAGCTTTAACCAGGGTTGGGATTATTTAACCAAGCTTTACAATGGCAAGGGCGGGTGTGAGGGAATAGAGGGAGACTGCAGGTGTAACCCAGCTAACAAAGGCCCAGGGAATCTAAACTGGATCAAACAGGAGTGCAGGCTTGAGGGGCTGGGGAGAGATTGTTAATTGTTGCAGGGAGTGAGCATGAATCCCTGAAGCAAGGGATAGACAGATGGGAATGACTATGAGACTTTGCAGAAGTTGTGCCTGATATCTGGAGGGAGAGAGGGAGCTAAAGATGATTCCAGAGTTTCTAGTTTTTGTGACTAGATGATCCCATTATAGGATCTATGTTATGGAAGTTTTGGTTGGGAAGATAATAAATTTGGTTTTTAGGACATACTGATTTTAAAGGGAAAGCCCTCAAAGCTCAACCATTTTCCTTAGAAACTGGGATGTGGGTTATCCAAGGGTTGATTAAAATTCCCTGGAAGGTCTTTCTTGTTGCAGTAATACACTTCTTGCCTTCACAGGAGTGTTACAGCTACTCCCATCTTTGAACAGTATTCAGACTTTATCTCTGACATTTGGTGGCCTCCAGGACAAAGGCATCGCAGAAATCTCTTCTTTTGGGGGTGCTTACGGATAGTTATGACGACCATAGATCTGAACTGGGTTCAAATCCCATCTACACCATTTGTGAGCTGACTTTGGGCAAGCTGTTTATTCTCTCTGAACCTCAGTATCCACACCTCTATGGAAACTAACACCGCTGTCTCCCTGTAACCAACAGAGATGGAGGTTAAAAAAATTACTAGAATTACTGACACCAAAAACTAATTCTTGGTGGGTCCCTCGTCTTTGTTCCCTTCCGCTGCCCCAAGGCTTAAATCTAAGGGAATCAGGCCATTTACACAGGATATTTTCTTAAAATGTTTTTTAAAGGGAAATTTGCAAGCTAAAGTGATCAGCAACATTAATTTAATACATTGTTGAGCAACTATAACATGTACACACTATTCTAGGTACCAGTTTGAGGGCCCCAAACACATAGATGACAAAGTCATAGTGTCTTTCTGCTTGGGGACACCACACGTCCATAAAACTGTGGTCCAAGGCAGCAACCACATGAGTTCCTCTTTCTGAGGTTAACACTCTTCCTGTCAAACTTCAGTACTATTTAAATGAAGATTCCCTGCAACCCTGAATTTTTTTTTAAATGCTTTGCATCTGCTTGCTAACCCCAGTAAAATAGGGACTGTCCTCTGGGCTAAGGAGGAATGGATCTGCATTCCCACCACATCCTGGCAGCAGTGACAGAAGAAACTGACAATCAGCATCTCCTCTTGGCCCACCTGTAATCTTTTCACAGTGCCTTGGGCCAGAGATTGCAAACTGGGAGCTACTAGATGGACCAGACCTGAGGACATGTGCTACATGGCTGACACAGTGCTTTGTAAACTTGAGCCAGCAGTTAAAATTCAGTCAACACAATATGAAATTTCAGACTAATTTGCTTGGCAGGAGTCCAGAGAAGGTGGACTCCGAGCAGTGGCTGACCCTTTAGAAAGGGCATGTGCTCCCAAGTTAACCTCAGAGCCCTGTTGGCAGACCCCTTCCCTCAGCAGGCGGCACACAGGGGAACATCCCGCCTCTCCCCAGCCTTGCTGATGGGGTGATAGGGAAGCTGGTTCCTTCTGTTCCAGACTGGGTTTGTTCTCCTTGGTTCTTGTTCCACCATGACAAGGAACTGAAGGGCAGAGGCACAGTATCAAAGCAGAGCGAAAGTTTTGTTTGAATGCCCTTCAAGGGAGGAGCCGGCCTGAGTCAAGGTGGACAAAGGCCCGAACTCCTAGGAAGGAGGCCTTTATGTTACATTCTGGCTGGGAGGTGCCTCGGCGGCTGACAAGGGGGTGCTATTTGGCCGACAGGTCCATCTGCACAGCTTCCCTCCCGGTGAGCCCGTCCTCTCCCACGCTGGTGTGGGGGGCAGCTCTTAGTTCCCTCCAATTGTGCCCCGCTGGGATCTGGCTTGGGGGGAAGTCATCCCCCTGCAAACCTGTCTCCACATGGGACCCTCCCTGGGCCGAGTTTGGGCGGCTTTTTCTTTGAACCTTAACTTCGCTCTTCCGGCTGCCCGTGCCTATCTATCTAACATTCCGAACAGTTCTGTCACCCCCCACTCTCTCTTTTCTTCCCACAGACCCCAAGGGATTATGACATGTAGCAAGACGGAAGAGCACTTAAACTTAAAATAGACCTCAAACCCTTCAACAATATATTTTGGGCCCAGATGACTGGTTATCAGAACTCAAGGAGCTGTAGAAGCCACTTCTTTGGAAGGCATGCAGGCCTTCACATTAATGAGGCAACTCTTTAATTCTGTGATTCAGTGACATCAGTGTGTTGCCAAATTGTCTTGCACTGTGGCCGCTCCTCTCTAATGAGAACCTTTATTCATGTCCTAAATAGAATTAAATTCAAGTGTCCTGACCCAGATGAATTATAGGCCAGACTACCCAGAGAACCCAGGAAAAGGACTTACAATGTTCGTCTGTGGTGTTAGAGCAATTGCAGATAGATATTTAAAACAGAGGTGGAATCTGGAGACAGAAAAAATATTCGTTAAAAAGAAGAGAGTTCCATACAAACACAGCAAACCTGTGAGCATGACAGATTGCAGACACAGTTCTAGAATGGATTTTAAAGGGGAAAGGGCACTCTGTCCACTCTGCAAGAAAAATGATTGATCCTGTGACCTAGCTTGGGTTAACCACAGACAAGTCATGTCAGCCTCGCCCTCCCTCCCTTATTCTACAACTCTGCGGGTCTAGCTGAGGAAGGAAATATGCAAGAGAGGATATCTTCATTGTTCAACAATAACTGGTACAGGAAAAGGCCACTTATGTAAGTCCACTTATAAGGAAAACCAAAATTTCATGTTAAATAATGCAAAAACATTTTAGTGGGACTTTATCCTGCAAAATGAAACTTGAAATCATGAACTTTTTCCTTCTATTTAAAAAACCACTTAGTAGACAAATATTGCACAACTATTATGTGACAGTCCCTGGTGATGAATACACAGCAGTGAACAGATTAGACAAAGTCCTTGCCCTTATAATCTAAGGGAAGGCAGGAAAACATTTAAACACAAAACTAAGCAAAATAGTTGCAGTTAGTGATAATGATGGTGTTACAAGGAGATAAAGTAGCGTAACCACGTAGAGAAGGTTAGATGGGGGATGGAGAAGGCCCTTCTCTGGACGTGACGTGGAAGCTGACATTTGATGAGGAGTCAGGCAGCCACAGTCTGTCGGAGAGAGGGGCCTGGACTACAGAGACCCCGCGGAGAAGCCAGCTGGGCAACCCCTGCAATGGCTGGAGAGTGAGCAAGGAGCATGGGGCCCTGAGGCGTGAGCTGTGGACACAGTCAGATGAGGCGGGCCTGGGAGGCCCTGGGAAAGGGTTTGGATTTTATAAATGTGACGAGAAGCCACTGGAGGGATTTCAGTGTGGAATGACATGATCTGATTTGTGTTTAAAAGGTGACAGTGTAGTGCATAATGCGTGATCAAAACTGAAAGTTTCTGTGATGAATGCCCTTGTACTGTTCACCATGTAAGAACTTATTCACTATGTAAGAATTCGTTCACCATGTAAGAACTTGTTCGTTATGCTTCAGAAGATTGGAGACTGATGAGAATTAGGCTTGAGATGGATTAATGATTGTGCATTGAGCATTGACCCCCCTATACAGAATTTTATTGTTGTTAACAACCATTTGATCAATAAATATGAGAGATGCCCTCTCAAAAAAAAATTGTATATCAACAATACTTCAATAAAAAAAGATTTGGCAATGGAAAAAAAAGAAAAAAGGTGACAGTGGCTGCTGTGTGGAACGGGGCGACCATGAAGCAAGAGCAGGAGCCGGTGTAACGTCAGGAGGCCGCCTGATGAGAGACGTGACCCTGTGGCTCAGTGGCAGCGGGGATGCCGGTGAGGTGTACACAGGGTGTGTTTTGAAGGTGGGCCCAGCAAAACTCGTTATGCCATCAGATGTGGGAGTAGGTGGGGTCAGCAGCGTCAAGAACGACTCTTGAGATTTTGTTTTGAGAGTGGCTGAATGATACTGGCTTTTACTGAGCAGGGTGGGAAGACTTGAGGAACAGGTTTGGAATGAAGAGGTGTGTTTTTGGGCACCTAAGTCTGAGAGGCTATTAGACAGTTCAGTACAGATATCAAGCAGACAAGTAGGATATACATCTGAAGGCCAAGTCTATATATCTGAAGACACAAATTTAAGAGACAACTGCATGTAGGTGATGTTTAAAGCCAAGGCCCTGGGTGAGATCACATAGGAAAGGGGAGATGCTGACGAAGGCCAGGATGGGCTCCAGACACCCCAGCATTTGGAGTTTGGGCCTTAGAGAAGAAGCCAGGTAAGAGCACTGCCACCAGCTCATTCTTAGAAGATCAACACCAGCCAAGCTTTGGGGGCATAGTTTTCTGATAAAATTATGTGATCATGTAATATGAAATTCTTCAGTAAAGATTTGACTTCACAGCACAATTGCATAACTTTGGTAAAAATATTTGAGACATTTGCTAATTTTCCCAGCTGTCTCTCTTACCCCTTTGATGTTAAAATCATTCTCATTTGAATTGTCTTTTTGGGTCTTCAACCTCATAGATTTTCTCTGCCCTAACCCTACCCCTTCCTCATTGGTCACTAGCTTTGCAAATGAATAGGGCAGTTCCCTAAAACTGCTTTCCTAATCTTGAAATCTTGCTTATTTTGCAAGACTGACAATTTTGCTGTACCATCAATATTTTTGTTATTTGCACTGTATTTTCATTATGCTGTTGTTTTGCCTGACAACTACAGAGGGAATAATGGACAGAGGCTGACCCAATAGATAGGACAGAAGCTCGGTTTTGAAAGGATCAGGTGTGTGTGTGGTCAGTTTTTTAATGATTAATTTTGTGCCATGATGATGTTACTTGCCTATGGTGGAGGCTGCTACCTCTTCCCTGAACCTGTTCTCCCTTTCTTTAAGCACTTTCTTACCTGCTGTTCACCTGGGCGTGGCTCGGTTGACTGAATGAGCAGCAAGGATAAGCCATTTTCAGACTCGTCCTATGAAACTGCCCGCATGTGCTCCTGAATTCAAATTGTATCCGACCTCCATTCTAAGAAGATCTGCTCTGGGCCTGGGTTACAGGAGGGTGAAAGTGAGAGCACAGAGACCAGGAGCAGACTATGGAGAGATGATAGAGCAGAAACCAGGAGAAATAGATGAATCTGGCACATGTATTGAGGAGAGGAAGCCCACGGAACTTGCTGAGCCTCTGGATATGGAGAGGAGAGAAAAGAGGAATCAAGCATGCCTTCTAAGTTCTTGACGTGAGCAACTAGGTTACGAATGGTTCCATGAATGGAAGAGAGAAAGACCCAGGGAGGAGCAAGTTGGCGGAAAGGGGACGAGCACTCTGTTTTGCACACACTGAGTTTGAGATGTGTGCAAAGCCAAGAGGCAAAGTCAAGGAAGCAGCTAAACGGTGAAGTCTGAAGCTCAGAGTGTAAATTTGAGAATCATCAGCAAATAGGAAGTATTGAAAGCCAGAAGCCTAGAAGTATCCCCAGGGAAATGGTTTGGAGAGAGGCCTACGATAGGCAAAACTAGGTCATCAGTCACTGGGAAGTCAGTAAAAGATTAAGGTGTGGCTGGTAAGGCAGGAGGGCTTGGAGACACTGGTTTCATGAAAGCCTGGAAAGAAAATATCAAACTGGAAGGCGTGGTCCACTGTGCTGAATGCTCCTGGGTGGGGGAGGAACAGGTGGACAGACAAGTAACCACCGAATCTGGTGATACGAGGGCTCTCTGAAACCTTGACCAGAGCGATTTCAGTTTGTAGTAGGTATTGAATGCTGGCTGGATGGGTTTGAGGAAAACATGGGATGCGGGCAATCAGAGACAGCAAATACAGAAAGGCCTCTTTTGAGAAATTTTGGTGCAAAATGAATGGGTCAGAAACACAGGCTCATGGCCTTTGAACTCCCTTTCAATCCTGAGGAGCCCATGAGGAATTTCTTCCTGATAGCTCACTGGAAAGCTGGATACTGCATAATAGAAATCCATGCTGTAGCTTTAAGACAAAACAAAATTAAAAAGAAAGATTGCAGCCAAAGAGAGGCAAGGGTAGATTTTCAAATGGGTTCCTCCATGTTGTAGGAAGAGCTGCAAACCCGTAACGCCCGCAGTTTCCTTTCTGCGGGGTGTGCACACAAGCTCTTCCTTCCATACTTGCCCAAGGAAGCTTGTTCATGCAAACTTCTGAATTTGCTGCCAAATATAAATGTGGGACCCAAAGAATTGTTACAGAAAAAACTGGAAAACCTGGACTGAATCGCTCACGGAAGAACCAAGCGGCACTCGGAGGTCCTAGAGTGTTGAGGTTTTATCTTACACCGGTGGGCTCAGAGAGGAGTCATCTCCCAAGGTCTGAGCTCTGAGCGCAAGCAAGGGGAGCAATTTATATTATTTTGATATGTGGCGTTGTGGCATGTGCAGGGCAAAAGGGGAGCCTGGAGGAGGGGAGGAGGGGGCTGGGAGTGCTTTGCTGACTGCCAACCGGAGGAAAAAAGCGGTTTGCTGACCTTGACAGCTGTGTTGAATATTTTCCTTATCGGAATAAGCAGATTTCTGTAAACAGGACACAAATGCATCTTGTAGAAGGATACAAAGTATCATTTTTGTTTCAAATTTTGTATTTCTTTTCTGGAAAACATTTAATTTGTTATTACAAAACAGTCATGCACACAAACCCTATTGTTAGTTTTTAAAAAATATTTAACCACAGACTGTAAGGAAGACATGGAGATAATTTTGTATCTAACATGATGGTCTTCAAAATAGATTACATGATGCCAAAGTCTGACTTGGAACCATTTGCTCTCCTATTTCACAGAGCAGCATCCTGGCTCCTGAGGTTGCATGTCTTCCTGGACCTATAAGAAGGTGGGTATGTAATCATAGCAGGAGCCGCGTTTCTGTCTTCACACAGGAGCTGGTTTATAATCTGAGGTCTACTCCTTACAAGGCAATGTGACCCCAGGAGTCCTTAACCTCATTTGTCACCTGGTGATAATAGGTCTACTTTGCTATTATGTTTTAAATAAGCTGACTTAAATAAACATGTGTGTGTGTATTCTGAGTATGATGAATAGTAGATGAATACTTTACACCTAATCCATACTGAAAAGGACAAACTATGTCATGAACCGTTAAGATACCCTGAGTTCCCACAGTCCAGATTGCCTGTCTGTATGTCTGTCTGGTCTTTCTGTTTGAAGAACAATCTTGGTGCTTTGGGAATCCTGTAGTCGACAGCATAATTTTAAGCAAATACTTTGAAGGGTCAAGGCTTTAGAAGGTGATCTGTTGCAATGAAGTGTCTCCCATAAGTGGCACCACGAGGGGCTCTCGCTAAGCTGCCCAACCCCTCCTCTGCTCAGCTCCAAAGTCTGCAAAAGTCACTGGACTTGCCCTGGGTGCCTCAGTGAAGACTAACTTCTCCCCTTGTCCCTTTCTGCATTGATGACATCGTCATAGGAACTGCTCTGCTGTGGGAATTGCTGCATTCCTGGTTGGGACCAGCATGCTGCTTGGCTTTGAATGTTCCCAAAGCCTCAGCTTGTCCAGGAGGGGAAGGCTTCTGTCCCCACACTCTGCGTGCCTGGGCAACAGCCTCCTTAAAGACTCCGACAAAGAGTGACAACAGGACTGGGGACGACCACATTTTTGACCTGACTTTAGCTAATGGAACACATCTAACATAGTGACATAAGGAGCTCAAAGATAAGGCACCCCTATAAAAGGACCCGGCTGGGCCATGTAAGCCAGCTGTCTTTGAGGATTCCACTGCTTGACATGAAGAAACAGCTGCAGAGGAGATATCAGGTCTTGGGGATATTTCCCTTTAAACGTATCTTGTTTTTGTTTTTTTGAGGTGGCTGAGGAGGATAGCTTTCAATTACCACTCATGAAAAGTAGCTGTTGCGTTCTGTGTTCCACACCACCTCCCCTCAGCCCCCCTGAGGCCTCTGTGGCGGCCAGGAGGGCACACCCTTCAGCTCCCTGGCAGCGCCCACCTCCAGCTGCTGTGGAGCCCCTCAGCATTTCCAGCTCAGGGCTTTTTGAGGGTTTGGTAGTTCACTTCTCCTAGACACAGGCAGCCCAAAGTGCCAGGCGTGTTACTGGGGAACTTCCTGCCATGGAGGACGGAAAGTGAGTGGGAAAAGGCTGCCTTCTCTGGTTCTTCAGAGCTGCAATTCTGGGGGTGCTCTCCACCATTCCTCAGAGGGTCCCAGTTGCCCACGGTAATAACCAGTGGATTGGTGCTTCCTCTACTGTCTTCTTTCTCCTCTCCTCTCCCCTCTGCCCCACTTGTGCATCCTAGGATCCCTTCCCAAAAAGGCCACTTGGACCCAAGACACAAGTCTCTGTCTGAGGTTTTGGTTTGGGGAGAACCTAAGCTAACTCATACATCAGTGAGTATGATGGGAACTGGTTTTTCTTTAACATTAAGAAATAAAGCTGCTCCTTTGCTGAACAAAGGGAAAAGGGAGACTGCCACCATTGGGAAGAGGAGCTATCCTTGAAGCTGAAGAGGTGGAAACACTGTTCTGATTGTTAGTAACTAAGTTAAGCCCCAGTGTTGCCTGTTAATATAGGCCAGGGGCTGCTGGTGGCTGGGGGAGGAACAGCTGGGCTCATTTTGAGCATGGAGGGGGTCCACAGAATGTGGAGGCGGAATAGTATTGAGGAGAGGAAGCCCACGGAACTTGCTGAGCCTCTGGATATGGAGAGGAGAGAAAAGAGGAATCAAGCATGCCTTCTAAGTTCTTGACGTGAGCAACTAGGTTACGAATGGTTCCATGAATGGAAGAGAGAAAGACCCAGGGAGGAGCAAGTTGGCGGAAAGGGGACGAGCACTCTGTTTTGCACACACTGAGTTTGAGATGTGTGCAAAGCCAAGAGGCAAAGTCAAGAAAGCAGCTAAACGGTGAAGTCTGAAGCTCAGAGTGTAAATTTGAGAATCATCAGCAAATAGGAAGTATTGAAAGCCAGAAGCCTAGAAGTATCCCCAGGGAAATGGTTTGGAGAGAGGCCTACGATAGGCAAAACTAGGTCATCAGTCACTGGGAAGTCAGTAAAAGATTAAGGTGTGGCTGGTAAGGCAGGAGGGCTTGGAGACACTGGTTTCATGAAAGCCTGGAAAGAAAATATCAAACTGGAAGGCGTGGTCCACTGTGCTGAATGCTCCTGGGTGGGGGAGGAACAGGTGGACAGACAAGTAACCACCGAATCTGGTGATACGAGGGCTCTCTGAAACCTTGACCAGAGCGATTTCAGTTTGTAGTAGGTATTGAATGCTGGCTGGATGGGTTTGAGGAAAACATGGGATGCGGGCAATCAGAGACAGCAAATACAGAAAGGCCTCTTTTGAGAAATTTTGGTGCAAAATGAATGGGTCAGAAACACAGGCTCATGGCCTTTGAACTCCCTTTCAATCCTGAGGAGCCCATGAGGAATTTCTTCCTGATAGCTCACTGGAAAGCTGGATACTGCATAATAGAAATCCATGCTGTAGCTTTAAGACAAAACAAAATTAAAAAGAAAGATTGCAGCCAAAGAGAGGCAAGGGTAGATTTTCAAATGGGTTCCTCCATGTTGTAGGAAGAGCTGCAAACCCGTAACGCCCGCAGTTTCCTTTCTGCGGGGTGTGCACACAAGCTCTTCCTTCCATACTTGCCCAAGGAAGCTTGTTCATGCAAACTTCTGAATTTGCTGCCAAATATAAATGTGGGACCCAAAGAATTGTTACAGAAAAAACTGGAAAACCTGGACTGAATCGCTCACGGAAGAACCAAGCGGCACTCGGAGGTCCTAGAGTGTTGAGGTTTTATCTTACACCGGTGGGCTCAGAGAGGAGTCATCTCCCAAGGTCTGAGCTCTGAGCGCAAGCAAGGGGAGCAATTTATATTATTTTGATATGTGGCGTTGTGGCATGTGCAGGGCAAAAGGGGAGCCTGGAGGAGGGGAGGAGGGGGCTGGGAGTGCTTTGCTGACTGCCAACCGGAGGAAAAAAGCGGTTTGCTGACCTTGACAGCTGTGTTGAATATTTTCCTTATCGGAATAAGCAGATTTCTGTAAACAGGACACAAATGCATCTTGTAGAAGGATACAAAGTATCATTTTTGTTTCAAATTTTGTATTTCTTTTCTGGAAAACATTTAATTTGTTATTACAAAACAGTCATGCACACAAACCCTATTGTTAGTTTTTAAAAAATATTTAACCACAGACTGTAAGGAAGACATGGAGATAATTTTGTATCTAACATGATGGTCTTCAAAATAGATTACATGATGCCAAAGTCTGACTTGGAACCATTTGCTCTCCTATTTCACAGAGCAGCATCCTGGCTCCTGAGGTTGCATGTCTTCCTGGACCTATAAGAAGGTGGGTATGTAATCATAGCAGGAGCCGCGTTTCTGTCTTCACACAGGAGCTGGTTTATAATCTGAGGTCTACTCCTTACAAGGCAATGTGACCCCAGGAGTCCTTAACCTCATTTGTCACCTGGTGATAATAGGTCTACTTTGCTATTATGTTTTAAATAAGCTGACTTAAATAAACATGTGTGTGTGTATTCTGAGTATGATGAATAGTAGATGAATACTTTACACCTAATCCATACTGAAAAGGACAAACTATGTCATGAACCGTTAAGATACCCTGAGTTCCCACAGTCCAGATTGCCTGTCTGTATGTCTGTCTGGTCTTTCTGTTTGAAGAACAATCTTGGTGCTTTGGGAATCCTGTAGTCGACAGCATAATTTTAAGCAAATACTTTGAAGGGTCAAGGCTTTAGAAGGTGATCTGTTGCAATGAAGTGTCTCCCATAAGTGGCACCACGAGGGGCTCTCGCTAAGCTGCCCAACCCCTCCTCTGCTCAGCTCCAAAGTCTGCAAAAGTCACTGGACTTGCCCTGGGTGCCTCAGTGAAGACTAACTTCTCCCCTTGTCCCTTTCTGCATTGATGACATCGTCATAGGAACTGCTCTGCTGTGGGAATTGCTGCATTCCTGGTTGGGACCAGCATGCTGCTTGGCTTTGAATGTTCCCAAAGCCTCAGCTTGTCCAGGAGGGGAAGGCTTCTGTCCCCACACTCTGCGTGCCTGGGCAACAGCCTCCTTAAAGACTCCGACAAAGAGTGACAACAGGACTGGGGACGACCACATTTTTGACCTGACTTTAGCTAATGGAACACATCTAACATAGTGACATAAGGAGCTCAAAGATAAGGCACCCCTATAAAAGGACCCGGCTGGGCCATGTAAGCCAGCTGTCTTTGAGGATTCCACTGCTTGACATGAAGAAACAGCTGCAGAGGAGATATCAGGTCTTGGGGATATTTCCCTTTAAACGTATCTTGTTTTTGTTTTTTTGAGGTGGCTGAGGAGGATAGCTTTCAATTACCACTCATGAAAAGTAGCTGTTGCGTTCTGTGTTCCACACCACCTCCCCTCAGCCCCCCTGAGGCCTCTGTGGCGGCCAGGAGGGCACACCCTTCAGCTCCCTGGCAGCGCCCACCTCCAGCTGCTGTGGAGCCCCTCAGCATTTCCAGCTCAGGGCTTTTTGAGGGTTTGGTAGTTCACTTCTCCTAGACACAGGCAGCCCAAAGTGCCAGGCGTGTTACTGGGGAACTTCCTGCCATGGAGGACGGAAAGTGAGTGGGAAAAGGCTGCCTTCTCTGGTTCTTCAGAGCTGCAATTCTGGGGGTGCTCTCCACCATTCCTCAGAGGGTCCCAGTTGCCCACGGTAATAACCAGTGGATTGGTGCTTCCTCTACTGTCTTCTTTCTCCTCTCCTCTCCCCTCTGCCCCACTTGTGCATCCTAGGATCCCTTCCCAAAAAGGCCACTTGGACCCAAGACACAAGTCTCTGTCTGAGGTTTTGGTTTGGGGAGAACCTAAGCTAACTCATACATCAGTGAGTATGATGGGAACTGGTTTTTCTTTAACATTAAGAAATAAAGCTGCTCCTTTGCTGAACAAAGGGAAAAGGGAGACTGCCACCATTGGGAAGAGGAGCTATCCTTGAAGCTGAAGAGGTGGAAACACTGTTCTGATTGTTAGTAACTAAGTTAAGCCCCAGTGTTGCCTGTTAATATAGGCCAGGGGCTGCTGGTGGCTGGGGGAGGAACAGCTGGGCTCATTTTGAGCATGGAGGGGGTCCACAGAATGTGGAGGCGGAATGTGTGAGTGGGGAGACGCTAAGGCAGGTACAAAATGTCCAAAGTAGACCATGAAGGCCTGGGGAGCCCAAACTGAGGTTCCAGAGTCAGAGAACTAGGTGAATCAGTGAGGTAGCCTTGTGAAGCAGGGGTGCTCTAGATTAATTGCAGAAACCAAGAGTGAGGCCAGGTAAAAGCTTGTATCCATTCCCGGCATTTGTGTGAGGGACCCTGGACGGAGCCATGACCCTAATAAACCCATGTGTCTAATCACAGCGCCCTCCGGGGCGGCAGGTCTGTTAGTATGGAAAAGAAAAGGAAATGGAGGGGAGACAAGAACACATGCATCCCCAGGGCATGAATTCAGTCCACAGAGAGGAAGGGCAAACAAAGGTCACGGGCAGCAAAGCTGGACTTCCAAGAACAAGCAACAGAAACCAAGAAGCAGACGATCACCTGCCTTCCTTTCTGCGGGATTTTTATGAGGTTGACTTTTTCTCATTTATTTCTGGGTCTACATAGAAAATGTAATTACAGTGTTTCTGGAAAAAGGACTATTTTTCCTGGTGCTACAGCTCGGTAACAATTTTAATTCCACAAGAACTGGGCAGTCAATGACAGGTACAGCTGTCAATGTTGGGCAGCAGATACCATGGGATGAGTCAGCATCTCCTGTGTGGGAGGCAGCGATCAGAGCACGTCCTGGACCTGCAGTGTAGGAATCTTGACAGGACTTCAGATGGTTGTATTATTGCAGCCTGGACAACCCGTATCCTACCCCCAATCAAACCAAACCAAAAATCCTACCTGAGACCCCCCCGCCCCAAACTGTAGGGATTTATCTGTGATCCTGTAATTTCTAGACAGTTCCTGGTAGTTTTAGCTCAATAATTATAATAATCAGACAGAACTATTATTGTAAATCATCACAGCTGTTATTTTGTAAGGATAGGATGCAGTTTCCTGATTAAGGACCTAACCTCTAATTTTAACAAAAATACTTGTTCATAATTCCTCTTCTCCAATGGCTCCTTTGCAATGTTAATTTCAAACACTGCTGTACGTGCTGACCACAGGGATTTAACTGCCAAGACCTAAAAATGAAACTCACTGAGTGCATGAAAACGTCCCTCATGACCATGTGAAAAATTAATTTGAAACAAAGCTGAGGATCCCAGAGATGAGTGGCCATTTATAGAACAATTCAATGTACACCTCTACATGCTTTTTAAATTAGCAGTAGGTGTTAGCATGAAAACTACTCTTTCTCTACAAATAATCCAAAGCCTTTGGATTATCACCAATAAACTAGGTGCCTCTAGGCCTGTCTGCCCAATACAGTAGCCACCTGATGCCATGGAGCACTTGGAAATGCAGCTAGTCTGAACTGAGATGTATTGTTAAATATAAGACATATCATATTTCAAAGATTTGCATGAAAAAAGAATGTAAAACATCTCATTAATCATTTTTTGCATTGATTACATGCTGAAATGGTACCACTTTGGACATACTGGATTAAAGAAAAAATGCTATTAAAATTAATGTCACCTGTTTCTTTTTCTATCAAGAATACATCTACCAGAAAATGAGGCCAGCACACATGTATGGCCACCATGGTATTCCTGTTGGACAGGCTGCCGGGACAGTCTCAGGGACAGTCTCTTGGAAAGGTCAGGAGGCTGGTCTGGGAGTTCCTTTGCGAAGCCAGTGCACTTTCCCCCTGAAGCATGTGTTTGGGAGATTCATTTGTGGGGGCCGCTGAGGTTATGCGTGAGGGAGATGTCATAACCCTTCTGGTCTTAGTGAGCTCATCTTTTCCACAGTAACCAGTGTTTGCTTACATTTCCTCACATGTAGAAATGGTGTGGCAGAGCACAATTCCCAGGGCGTATGCAAATCATGCAATTGATGTATCATGGTTTGATGAGTTTTATTACATTTATACAGTTGTGCAACCCTACCACAAGCCAGCTTTAGAACGATAACATCACCTCCCAAATTTCCCTCATGCCCATTTAGACTCAATCCTTGTTCCCACAGCTACTGGGAAAGCACACATCTGCTTTCTGTGTGTATCACTTTCCTTTTATAAAGAAAGGTCACAGCAGTAGGATCATCTGTGGTCCTTTGTGCCTGGCTTCCTCCACTTACCATACTTTTTAATGTTCATCCTGTTGACAGTGTTTCTCTTGCCAGTCCCAAATTTTTGGCCTACTTTTAGAGGAAGCAAAAATGGGTGGTAGGAAGTTTTGGGAAATTCCTCAGTAATGGTCTGAGCTTGGAAAAGATGCCAAGGGTAAGTAGAAGCACACGGACAGTCTTATGTCACACTGGGATTTGAACACAGGTGACTGCTGATCTCTCTTTCTTCTGTTTTTAAAAGAAAATCAACTATATTGGCAAGACAATATGCATTTCCCCACTTTACCTGCCTGTCTTGTCTATAAACTTATATATCCATATGTTTTTGTGCTTATAGTATAGATTAAAATGCAATAGTCCACACTTTACCACTGAGTACTTTCTATAAAAATGATGATGTTTGCTCCCAGCCTCCATACTATCTCACCTGGAAACCGAGCAGATGTAACTGCTTTTTAAAGAGTTTAACACCATCACAGTCTTTCATTTATTCAACAAAATGCAAACTCTTATGGCTCTGCTTACATTGAAATCCAGCCAGATGACTCTTAACATCCCACAATCCTAAGATTTTACATGCAATCATGGTATTTGTTTTATTAACAGACAACAGCAAAAACAAAACACTTCAGGAACTCAATTTTCTTTGCTAATAAGATGGTACCAAAATAATAAATATCTTCTGACACCACCCCCATCAAATCACTGGAAAGTTTATCCATAATAATATGGGGACTTTGCAGAGTGGGTTAGGATTTCTGACAAATGCATTCATTAAAACTACATCACATGTTAAAGAAGATGTGGTACATATACACAATGGAATATTACTCAGCCATAAGAAAAAAACAGATCCTACCACTTGCAACAACATGGATGGAGCAAGAGGCTATTATGCTCAGTGAAATAAGCCAGGCGGAGAAAGACAAGTACCAAATGATTTCACTCATATGTGGAGTATAAGAACAAAGAAAAACTGAAGGAACAAAACAGCAGCAGAATCACAGAACCCAAGAATGAACTAACAGTTACCAAAGGGAAAGGGACTGGGGAGGATGGGTGGGAAGGGAGGGATAAGGGCAGGGAAAAAGAAAGAGGGCATTATGATTAGCATGTATAGTGCATGGTGGAGAACGGGGAGGGCTGTGCAACACAGAGAAGACAAGTAGTGATTTTACAGCATCTTACTATGTTGATGGACAGTGACTGTGAAGGGGTATGTGGGAGGGGGGACTTGGTGAAGGGGGGAGCCTAGTAAACATAATGTTCTTCATGTAATTGTAGATTAATAATACAAAAAAAAAACTACATCACATGTAAATTGCTAAAGGAACCACCTGTGAAAAATGACGGACTGTGACAATGAGACAGGGACTGTGGGTGTAGTCAGAGCAGGGTGAGGGCCTCCGGAAAAAGCAAGGCAGGATATTTACAGTGAGAGCAATGTAACTCTAAAGGAGTGCAGAGAGCATTAAGAGTCAGGAAGAAGAACTAATAAAACTTAGCTAAACCTTAACAGCAGACCATTCCGGAATAGTAAGAGATTCAATGTCTAAACTTAGAGAGAGACCAGATCAAAGGAAGAGAGAGCGAGAGGCCAGCCAAGGGCTATTTGAATCCTAGTTTACTAAATCCCCATGGTTTACAACCCTGATATCCACCCTGGCAGGGCCCTTGCTTATTTTATACTGCTTCTCACTTTAGGTCCCTGTATCTTAAACCGGCTAATAGCCTTTGTTAGGGAAAGAGTGAGTGCTGTTCAGGTGCTAATGCTGAGACCGCAGTATCATTCACTCACACAGCAGGAAGAAACAAACATTCCATGATTGGAATGGTCAAAGGAAAGTGGGGAAATGTAGAATCTAAGCATTAGTAAGATTAGTAAATTAGCATAAGCATAGCCATCTTAGAAACCTAGAAACCATTTTCTGAGAGTGTGACTCAGAGAAAAAACAAAACAAAAAACAAACCCTGGGCCTGGGTAAGGCCTTGAAAAACAAGTTAATCATGAGCACCGGGTGGTGGGCAGCTGTGACCCTTGGTCAGCTAACCTTGGTCAGTAAATCTTACATACCAAGCTTATCGTGCAGAACCTCCCTAACCATTGAGGAGTAGTCTTACCCTGCCCTTGCTTAACCCCAGGATATATGTCTTGCAAGAATAATGTATAGTTATAGAAAATTGCTATGAGTTAAGTGCTTTGAAATTGCTATATAAACCCTTGGCTCTGAGTGCTCGGGGTCCTTGTTGAGACCCGCTGCATCGGGCTGACTTGGACCTCAGCTAGCTAGCTGAATAAAGACTTTGCTTGAATTTACATCTCTATGCCTGTGTAGTTTGTTCTCTGGGGAAGCCTCGGAAGCCTGGACCCTAACAGTAACAATGGGCAAAGAAGTCCCTATAGAAACTCTGTGCTCAGCATTATTCAAAGTCAAGGTCACACTAATTCTCTAGGGTAAAGATACCAGACTAGGAATATAGACATCTTCAGTGAGATCAGTTAAAGCTCTTAAGGCCAGGAGCAACTTGGTTTGGAATGTTTGAGTGTTCTGCAAATGAAGAAGGGTATCTCAGCAAAACCTGTGACTTCACCGTAAACAGCTCTAGCAAACAGACAACAACCCAGCCCACGGTGGTGGCAGGGCAGGTGGTACAAGTTCACACCCTAAGCCCTTTATCAGTTCCCCCAAATCCTCAACTGCCTATAAATCCCCTAGACAATGCACCATCCCGGGCTCTCTTGTCCCCTCCTGCTTGTCTGTCTTCTCACTGTATCTCTCAATAAAAGCCTCTACCTGGCTCTCCTACCTTGTGTGTTTGCTAAATTCATTCTTTGATTCCGCATCAACAAATTGGGCTGGAAGGAAGAAGTCAAAAGGTCCAGGCTAAGGTGAACCTCTTTCAGTCACACTTTTCATCAAATAAAGCACAAATGAGTCTGTTTGCTTATTATGGACAGGTGTGTTTAACTCACCTGTCCCTCCCGGAAGGGGACTTTGCTAGGGGGTGAGTCATTGCACACACGGGCTTTCTCCCTCGGGCACCTGTGTCTCCGGGGGCTTTTTCTGCTGTGCTGCATCTGGGCCCACCCGGACCAGCCAGCAAGGCTAGGAAGCAACACCCCAGGGTAGCAATCCAGACATGAGGGACAGGGGCTGAGGGCTAAACCTGGTGGGTTCCCTGCAGGTGTGCTCAGACTCTGGGAGGGTCCCCAGCAGGACCAGGCCCAATTGCCCTCAAAGGTAAACTCCTCATTAACTTAACCATTCGGCTTCTTGCTCATCCTTATCTCACTTCCGCACTTCCTCGCTTTGCTTTGCTTCCAGGACCACTTCCCAGATATATGAGGCTCCAAATCCTTGCCTCAGGGTCCACTTTGTGGGTACCCAACTTAAAACATCTATCAAAATTTAGACAAGTTATAGACTTCAAAGTGTGGGTAAAATTGCAACATTTCCATAATCTCTCGCCTGGCTTTAGTGCATCCGCATATCCTCGGGGGTGGAGGGAAGTTCATCTCCATATTGATGGGTAATTACCTGGGCAACTGAGGGCGTGTCTGAACCTGAGAGGTTATGGGGAGGGGCTGGCTGGCTTGCCTGCTGTCTTCCAGGGCAGAGGAGAGACGGCCTGGGACTGCAGTTGGTGAGCAATAAATGGGTTTTAAACGTTATTTCTCCCTTTGACTAATTTTGGTTTTTAGTGGTATTTTATCCTGGGATTTCCTCTCCCTGGACTTACAAAAGGAATTCTACATTTCTTTTTAGCAGAATTTTCCGGGCCATTGTAGGAAGACCCAGAAAAAGAAACCAAAATGATGAGAGTTACACCAAAGAGCAGTTTTGCTCTTTGCAGCCGCTGAGGCCAGGGGGCCTCCCTAGCTGTGCCAGAGGCACTCAGGCCTGGCGCCTTGGGGCAGGGGCTAGACTCAGGGGCTAAGGCTGGTGCACATTAAGTGGTGCAATTCTCACAACAGCCCCCGGAGTGAGTTCTATTATTGTCCTCTCCCCCCCCCCCAGGAGGAGGAACGGGAAGATCAAGGTAATTTGACCCACGTCACACAGCTCGGAGGGGACAGTAGGATTGCAGCACTGGGAGCCTGGCTTGATATTCTGGGAGCACAGCGTCTACCATAGCCCTCAGGTGTGAGAGGTGTTTGATAAATGCTGGCTTGATTTGGGAATTACAACATGTAGAGAAAGGAAAGAGGGTGGTGTAAGGCTGACAGCGCTGACGGGAGGAGCAAGCACAGTCGGACCCTGATGACGTGTCAAAGTCCCCCGCTGTTGCCCCTCCCAACCTGAAAAATGTGCCTTACATTAGCCAATCCTCACACCGCTGTAAATCTAAGCTCTGCCTCCCCCTGCCTTCTTTAAAAACTCTCTGCCTGTCTGCTTAAG